TAAAAGGGGTCTCTTGATTGGACATCTGGAAAGAAGAAGGGAAAAGCAGAAGAAGGAGTATCAACATGCTGGGACAGCATGTCTAGAAGGGGGGGTGATGTCAGGGCACCAGCTCATTGGTTGGTCAAGAGACATGACTAAGCCTTTATGACATGGAAGTAGCTGGTATACCTTGGCATGTGCTGGAACCTGCTGGAAGGATTGGATGGTCAGGTGACCTGCTGTGCATGGCTGTGCATGACCTCATATGACCTCATCCTTGGTCATATGACCTGATCACCTGACTAGGCTGAGTAAGCAAGATGTTCTAGCAGGTTCCACCACAGAGGTATAAATATAAGGCCTACTCTGCCTGGGGACTGTCTCTTCAGACTTGGTCTCTTAGGATCATCCACAGGTACCTATACTGTAGATAGGTCTTAGTCATCAGGTTTACTCCACTTCCTTGTTGCCTGCTTAGACTCTTGGCACTCTTAGGTGAGCAGACTTAGTCAGCCTGTGTTGCCCTAACAGGTGTACACAAGTCCGATTTGCTCACAACACGTTTTGCTGATGCCAACAATGCCAGAGCTGCCATTGAGGATGCAGGCAATGGGAGTGTCATAGTTGCCAATTAAACTAGTCGATCTGCCGGAGAGGTACCATGTCTTTGCCAACCAACAAACTGTCTGCATCTTCCGAAATGCCTTCAATCTGGTAAATTGGAGCCTTGCCATCTTGCACTTTGGTCACCTGAATTAGGTCCAGAATAGTGGGTTTCTTGCCATACACTTCCTTGAGAACCTTGCTGAACAGTGGACATGCTGACACCAGAACCTTGCTGGGAACTTGAACTGGAGTTTTGTGCTGGGAACTTGAACCAAAGTTTTGGCGAGAGTAACTGCGAGAGCCCACAAAACTGTCTCATCTTCTGCATGTTCAGCACGTTTGGTACAGGGCTTTGGCGGGTCTGGCATGGCATCCAGCTTCTCCAGTTTGTTCACTCATATGCTGGCAAAGTGTGCAGCACTGTGATGTATGCATGTGTCCGATTTTTCCCTTCTGGCTGCCAGTGTGTAGACTTTGGAGACCTTGGCTGATTTTCCCATGGATGCTGCACGCTGTTTCTTGAGTCATTCCGCTTTGGCCATTAACACCTTGATTTCCTCATCATTCCATTCAACTGTGTCATCCTGTTTTTTGGTGAGAATGTGCAGCACTGAGTAATTGGCCACCAGCAAGGATGTGATAGGTGCCATCTTTCTCAAGGAGTCCTTTGTCCACATATTGCCGGGTGCCTGGGCATGTCACAATCTTGTCTGTGCAACCAGTAGAGACTCTGTCAAAGTGGCAAAGCACATGTTCAGTATTCTGGGGGCTGTATCTGTTTTGATTTGGGTAGTTCTCTGCTGGGACAGGAACCCTGTTTGCGCCAGTAGCTGGTGGGTTGTTGCTGTAGGTATTTTGGGAGGGCTGTCCATAGGAGTTCTGCTGAGCAGCCAGTTGGTTCTGCATGGCAGGTTGCTGGTTCATGGGTGTGTAGATCTGGGAAACCATTCCTTCCAAGTTAGCCATGCATCCAGTAATATCAGTGACCTGTGGGTTGCTTTCTGTTTTGACATCAACAGGTACCGGTGCTGGTGATGCCTTCTCCAAATAATTGGGGGACAGTGGCCAAACCTTTGTCATAGTGTTGCCCAGTGCCCATTCTGCTGTCTCCTTTAATTTGGCCATTGTCCATGGTTCGTCCACAGCCCTGTCATATTTCCACTTGAGCCTGTTCAGCATCTTGTCCCAAAGGTGGCTTTCAGTGGGCAGGAATTTGAGTATGCAGAGGAGGGACTTCTGTTGGTCGAGGATGGAAATCTGGTTGTGCTTGATGAGCCAGGTGGAAATAGAGTAAAAGTCCTGGTAGAATTTGGCAAATTCACCTTTGGTCTTAATGCGGCATTGCCACTTGTGAATGAGGTTGTCAAGGTCCCAAGTTGCATACTGGTGTTTGTTATTCACTGTGCCAGGGTAGTACTTCAGTATTTCGGTCTTGAAATCCTCATATGAGTCCTTTTTTGCATCTTCCATGCCATTGTGGATCTGTGCCCATAATTTGTAGGTGTTGTCAACAGTGTAAAAGCAGGCCCAGTTGATCTTGTCTCCTCCACCAGTGACAGCAGGTTCACACAAGCCAAATAGTTTTTCCAAGGCTGCAAAATAATGGGTGACACCAAGAGGTGTGGGAGAAAAGCAGGGGGGCCAAGGGAGACTCCCTGCCCATGGGCATTGTGCATTTGCTCACCATGAGGAGTTATTGGACTGCATCCACTATATCGGAGTTACTCCTGGTGGAAGCAGTTGATGATACCTTGGTATCCGAAATTGTGGGTGTTTCTTGGAGCACAATACATTGGGCTTGCCATTTGTCCCTAAGCTCATTTTGTTGTTCTATAGTGGAGGTGGGTACCAGAGTATGGGAAGCCAGTATCAAAATTCAGAGGAGGAGGAGTTCTTGCCTCAGCAGCTCTTAATCAGTAAAAGCTGCCTCATGTTGGGCTCCAATATGATCTAACCCAAGAGGTGTCTGAAATATCAGTCCGATGGGTGGTGTGCAAGAACTCACTTGGAAAAGAGGGGAGAGATGGGGAAAGTCAGTAGAAATGTGGGAGTCAGCCTGTAGCTGAGCTATTGAAAGTCAGTACACAATAATCAGAGCTTGGTGTCCATCTAGTCAAGTCACAATAAGTCAAGTTGAATCTGCTAAGTCAAGTCAAATCTGCCTATCCAGCAAGGGGATAATTGGATCCGTATAAGTCTATCAGAAAGGGACAGAATAAGCTAGATACAGGAGTTTCTGGAAACTACTTATACTAGATACTAAAAACCATACTCTATATTAATCCAGTCTCTGGATACCTCTCCTAGGCAGGCATTGGCATGCCAAATATCCATGTGGGTCGATCCCATTGTGGGGGAAACCCACAGTCATCATGCCAAATATCTGAGGGGTCCCGTTGCCTGGGAAATCATAGTAGTTGCCATGCTGAATATCCGGGGGGGTCAAGACTTGTTGCTGGGGTGCATTATCCTGCATCATGAGGGTCTGTAGTGCTGCACAACGGTCTCTAAGGCCCAAAAATAACCATGGGAATACTGGCCTGACACACCCCACTGGAGGTGGGGTTGTTCAATGCCTGTGGGTGCAAGTACTGCAGCCAGGATACTGCCCCAAGGGAGCATCCCACTGATGAGAGGCTTGGCGACCAGGACAACTTGTTTTTGCAAATTGCTGGCCAGCTGATCCGTCTCCTGTGAGTCACCAGGGAGCACACCACCATCTTTGGTGTCCTCTTCATTTAACGCTGCAATTGCTGGGGGTATTGGACCCACATCATTGTTGTCTTCCACCCAGGCATCAAGGGGCAGATCTTTGTTCTCCACACTGATGGGTGCACTGAGATGGTGTGCCTTCTAATCTGTCACTCACTAGGAAACTATGTTAGTTCATGATACTGGTGGATTACACTGCTTGACACATACCATCATGCCCATATCCTCTGCCAAGAACTCCCACAGCATCTGTGTATGGGGACCAAGGAACATCACCTGCCCCTGATTCAGGAGCTGCAGTGCATGTGGCTTATCCAGCAAGAGTTTTGTCATTGCAGCCTGTTCAAAGTGCATTAATTGTCGACTATATGCAAGTAAAAACTGATGTACCTGCATCTTCCCCACTTTTTCTGCCTCCTGTAACCATTTCCCCCTCTCCTTCAGTCCTTGGGGATGACCACCATGACACTGCCAATCTTCATCTTGTATGCAGATGCATCACTTGGTAGCCATGCTGTGGTAACCTTGGGGTGCTGCATGGCCATGTTCTTTGAAACAGCTTCTTCACCAGGGATATATTCAGTGGAGGGTGCAGCCATGGTAAAAAGTTGAGTGCATGGTGGTGAAAAGTCAAGTTCAGAGGAGAACAGACTTCACCTCCGCAATGGTTTTTAAAGGGCATGGTTAGCTCTGCACCGCCACCACCACCTGGACCACAGTTACCAAGGCCAAGCCCACTCCTTGATATCACATCCTATTTGAACATATCATTGTGGATATACCACTATACCAATATACTGACATCTGTTATCTGGAAGCATGCTCACCCATAGGAGGTTCACACGAGAGCTCAATTAGACTATCTATTGTATCTACAGTACAGTAGGAGTCACATCACCACTTCTCATTGAGGATCTGGAAAACACAGAACAGAACGTCATCGTTCAAGACCAGTGGCGACCGATCCATTTCCTGCAAGAGGCAGTTCGAGTGGTTTAGGGACTGACCAGAGTAATGATACCCTTGTGCTAAAGTCTTGGTTTGCTTGGTTGAGTCATAGTGACCAACCACGGGACGAGGTTTGCCTCCGTATGAGTGACTTGTCTTCGCTGCTTCAATGAGGCATTCAAACTGAGTATAGAAGGTACATAACTGACATGACATGTCCAATTAATCATGCAGTAACAGTTGAATTAGTCGATCCTGAGTCGTCGCATTCTTCGCCACTGATCTGAACCCGTTTGTCAACATCGCGACTGACGCGGAAGGCTCTTGGGAAGGTCTGAGCAGGTCGCAGTCGTTTCCGTCCAATGCGATACAGGAGTCATTTTGAGAGATGGTTGAATCATTCAGAACCGATAATGCTGGAAGGGCGTTGAGGGTAGCGGAAGCCATGCATTAGAGGGAGATACACTGAGCGATGAGAACTTGAATCGGCTTGGACGGCTTCGAACGAAAGATCTCATCAAACGATCACCATCGCCAGACAGCAAGAGCACATCATGCATTTCCAATTCAGGAGGCTCCAGTGGGTTTATGATGGCGAGACCTCCCTGGGATCGAGGATGTTGTATGACTAGAAGGCAGACAGGGGCCGCAAATGCTTGAGTGGCTCCGATAGGAGAGCTCTTCAAACTCTACACCATGTTTCTGTCAGGAGAAAATGCCAGCTTCGTATACTAACTCAACACTTCAAGGATGGACTCACACCCGCGACGCATGACTGGTACACAAGACCAAAACGTAGAAAAGAACCCCACTCCGGACTCCTGATATCTGAAACGTCCCTATCGCTTGCCTATTCATCTTCGATTCCCTGGAGGTAGACCGGTACAACCGTATCGTTCCAGCGGCGGCGGGCACGATCTAGAACGGCAATGTTCCGTGCTTTGTCCAAGTAATGGGCCGATCGTGCACAGATCATGGCGTAAATTTTATCCTGGTCGTTCCAAAGGAATGTGTCCCATAGAAACCCTTCCACGTGTACAGTATCAAAGGGAGGTGCTGGATTTGCATCGCTCAAAGCTGACAGGTATTTCGCCATCCCTTGCCATTCTAGAAACTGAAAATGCAAATGTCGTATCGAGGAGAGCAGTGAGTACCGTTTGCCGTTTGGCAGCTCGCTTTCCCTGCAGAATTCTATATGTTCCAGGTTGGGAAGAGTATCAAAGGAAGAGATAGGCAAACCGCAAACATCTCCAGCTGGTGAGATTCAGAAGGTGATTCGAGATATATTTGAGCCATTTAGAACCAAGAATGGTTGCAGGGCGCGGAGAGCGACAGGAGCCATGTGGTAAAGTGAAATGCACTGCAGCGCCGGGTATCGACTTCGAAAGAGGTAGATCATCACATGGACGCCGTCACTTGAAAACTTCATATCTAGCGTCTTGAGATAAGGAAGCTCCAATGGATCGAGATCGCGAAGATCGTGATCGATATCCGGGGTGCCTGGAACAGGGAGAGGTGACGCAAACGCTTGAGGCTCTGGAGCGCAATCAAGATGGGCTTGAAACGCTCTGACGAGGCCAAACTTATGTGCAGTTCCTGCAGAGAGGTGGAACATTTTGTCACAACGACGACGGCCTGGTCGGAGAATAGATTTGATGCTTTGAACACATGCAAGTGCTCCAGCAGTGACAGAAGCGGGAGTTGGGTATAATGGGAAACAGAGATTTGCTCGTGAAGATTGAAGGTTCGAACGAACTGCCCAGGACCTGGAGATTGGTCGTGGCTATTCTTCATGTGTTGGGCGAATAGATTCAAACCATGGTCTGTTTTGAAGCAGAGGTTTCGATAGAACAATGGGGTTGCAATGTCCTATAACAGATTCAGTTCAATAGGAAAAGGATTGCACAGGATGGGGTGCACACCCCTTCCATTCTTTGCACACAAGCATCAAAGAAAGAATATGGACGGATCCCGACAACTGTTCTCTGTCCTCTTCTATGTTTTCGTCATCTTCCATGCACCAACAGTCCCCACATATGATTTCAAAGATCAAGTGCCATAGCTCCGGGTGAAGGACGGGGAGCATTTTCTGCCCACATTTTTCCATAACCGGCAGACTTGACTTTGGCTCGCAACAGAGGACGTGCTGGTCTACGGTCACCTCATGGATGCTGTCCCATGTTTTTACCCTCTTGGTGCGCTCGCCACTCAAATGCATGGGAAGCATTACGTAAGAATGGCTGTGTAAGGGTTCTAGGGTTCGGTGCATCGCCCCCTTATTCCCCTATGGCTCGGCGAAAGCACCGACTTGCGTGGGGCACCATAAACATACTGCCCTGAGCTGTCGTGGGACGAAAGGCATTGCTTGTGACTCTTTTTTCTGCTGCGGATAATACATTGTTTATGTGCTGCTTGCCGTCTATGGATGAAACATGAGACCAGGCTGACATCGTCTTGCTGCGGAAGGACATTGAGCGTGGGGATGTTGAGGTGGCTTGGATCTCGCAGAGGGAAGGATCCTGAGGGGTGGTATACCTCGGCATGCTGCGGAAGGATATTGAGCACGGACAAGCAGAGGTGACTTCATAGATGGGAGGGCAGGATGAGGTATAAATATCCGGAGAACACCCGGCAAACTGTCCATCAACACCTCTTTCGACCTTACAACGCCCTTTCAACAACCTCGCTAAACCCCCAAAATGAAGGTTTCTTTCAGAAGGGCTATGCTCGATCAGCTCCGTCACATACCGGAGGTGTCAACATTCTCGGTCGACCTTACTGGCAAAGTCGTGATTGTCACGGGCGCCAATGTCGGACTGGTGAGCTCGCTCGAGCCCACTCACATCTTTTATTGATAAAAATCCAGGGCTATGAAACCGCGAAACATCTTGCTACAATGAGCCCTGCAAGATTGTATTTACCTTCAGCTGATGCCCCGGGAACGACAGCTGAACCCCCCGTAGAATTCTCGCTTGTCGCGACCAGCAAAAGGGTGACAAGGCTGTCGCCGACATTGTGCGCAAGACGGGATGCAAGACTGTGACATGCTGGAAGGTAGATATTTCTGAACCATCGAGCGTGGAGGCTTTTGCCGACCGATTTGCACGCGAAGGTGGCGAAAAGTTGGACATCCTGGTAAGTTCGCTCTGCCTTCTGGGAGAGACGTAGCTGACACCTGAGTAGATTGAGAACGCCGGTGTTAACACGTTCAAGTTCACACGTACTCCCATGGGCTGGGAACGCACTATTGGGACTAATCACCTAGGCACCGCGCATCTGACATTCCGTATGCTCCCATATCTTCTACGGGCGGACAAGCCAAGACTGGTGATCGTCGCGAGCGACACGCATTATTGGGTTACCGACCCTGAAGGCGCAGACACGGAAGACGTATTGCAGAAGCTGAACGAAGAGGGGAGAAAGGGCAAGTTTTAGTGCATCTACTACCTTTTGCCACATTCTGGTATAATCGGCTGACGGCACGTAGCGGCCAGTTCAACCGCTATTTCGTCTCGAAGCTGTTCAACGTCCTCTTTGTCAGGGCATTTGCCACTCACCTTCCGGAAGGAACCCATCTCACGGTAAACGCTGTCAATCCCGGATTGTGCAAGTCCTCCCTCGTGCGTGAGGTGAACCCTGTGCTGGCTGGAGTCATGCGTCTCTTCTCCCGCTCAACAGAAACAGGAAGCAGGATGTTTGTGCATGCAGCAATATCCCCCGCTCTTTCCAATACGACGGGGCAGTACTTGAACGTATGCCAGGTTGATGAACCCAGCGACTTTGCGATCTCCCAGCGAGGGGCAAGCGCTAGTATGCGCCTTTGGGTGAGTGCAAGATTACTCTTCCCCAGAAATCCACATGCTGACGGTATGTGGCAGGATGAAACTATTGCAGTCTTGTCAGATGTGGATGGGCAAGTGCGTGAGAACGTGAAGACTTATTTGCAGTAGCATGTTGGTCGATTTCGGCCGAGCCTGCCGCTACCACTTCGCGGTGTAATTATTATCTCTTAATCCTGCCGATGCCAACGCTGGATAGCGCTGTGGGATTCTTCTTGCCGATTCGACCCTCCACTTGAAGCACGGAACATCCTCGAGACTTTTCTCATATCAGGGTCTCTTTTCACTCACCTGTACATAATCACTGGACGACTGATCGCGTTCCGTCCTTCTCTGTATGTGAGCAGCCTCGAGGCAGCGGCACACCCTGATATACTGCATAATCTGACGATGCGATGCTTTTGTCCTGCCAACTGTCCATCTTCGGATGTCTCGTCTGCATCCGTGACTACAACAAACGGCTTAGAGGTTTGACATGTGATGTCAACATTCAAAGCAACATACATAAACCTGATTCAATGCGCTGGACTGTGACTGGTCCCCACGTATCTTTGCCGCTGTCTTATCGATCTGTGGACCAATGCTTCTTTTCTTATTCGCCGCTTGCTTTTTTGTGATTGGTGCAGCTCTATCGCTGGCCAAGACCAGAAACCGGAACCGACTTCCATCCTGGCTGAAAGGTCCCAAACCCGAGTCATGGATGCTAGGCAGTCAGGCTGAAATTGCACTCTCGCAGTCCGGAGAGCCAAACCGAAAGTGGATGAAAGAGTTTGGAGCTGTGTACAAGTACACTGGGTGCTTCGGGGTGAGCATTCTTCCGTCCTCCATTCTGTGCCTTGGGTCTTACTAATACCCCGGGATAGGGCGAATTCCTGGTCTTAAATGACGCTGCCGCTATTCAGCATGTCTTACGGGGGCAGACTACGAGTTATCGTTTGGACAAGGCCATGAGAGAGTTTTTACGTCTGGTAACGGGGGAAGGACTGATATGGGCTGACGGTAATAAAGTTCCTATTGTCCTCTGCGACGGATCTTATGAATTGAATCAGGCTCCGACCACGTAAGGCAAAGACGCCTGCTCTCTCCGGCTTTTAATCCAGTCTTTATCAAGTCCCTTGCACCTAAATTTGCGAGCTGCGTTTCCAAGGTGATGTCCTCCCACGGGATAAGCCAGCATGACTTACTGTATTTTTGCTCAGCTTGTCAAAGTGTGGCATAGGCAACTCGATACGTCTGAAAACACAGAGATCTATGTGGAAGTCAATGCACATCATTGGATGGAACTGCTAAACATGGAGTCGCTGGGTATCAGTAAGAATGATCTCTCGCTTCGGCATAATCCCGTTTAAGCTCTGATGCGCCCACAGCTGCCTTTGGTCTCACCTTTGGTACTATGGAAGGGGATAATCACCCACTCCAAACGTGAGTGCTTATTGCGAAATTAGTCAAATTATATGTTCACCAATGGCGAACTTCAGTGCCTATGCCGGTATGCTGCATCACGCTTACGGACGCCCAACCAGGATGAGTATTGCCATGCAATCTGCTGCTCTGCACACTCCTGCATTCCTTGTTCACTTGATCCAGAAACTTCCCGTTCCGAGTATGGAGAGAGTGAAAACAGCACAGAGCGTCGGCCGAAGATTCTCGCAGGAGCTGATTCAGGAGAAACGTCGACTGCTTGCGACTAATCCGCAACTGGAAGATCGCGATTTCCTCACGGTATTGGGCATGTATTTCTCATTTGATTAGCGTGGATAGACTCTCAGACGAGCGTAGTACGCGCAGGGGAGAAAGGCCAGAAGGGAAACCTCGAGAGCATGACTGACGATGATATCCACAACAACCTTACGTAAGCGCACATCTTGCCCTACCGTCGTTCAAAGCCTAACCTTATCAACAGAACATTTTGGCTTGCAGGGTGTGAGTACTTTCCCTGGTGAAGGTTCTAGCGTCAATGTCTTTGTCTAGTCGAGACAGCGACGAACACAAGTGCTTTCGCTCTTCTCGAGCTCGCCTCTAACCCCGACGTGCAGAAGAAGCTTGTCGATGAGGTCGCAAGCGTCCTCGGAACATCCTCAGACTGCGATCTCTCTGAAGGCTTCAACGCCGACGAAGTGGAGAGGATGCCATACTTGGAAGCGGTGGTCAAGGAGACTCTTCGACGGCACGCGGCGATCCATTCCGGGTTATTCAAACCCGCGCATGACGATATGATCCCGTTATCAACGGCGATTGATACACCCGAAGGGTTGTCGGATAGGGTATGTGTAAGAGCAGGACAGAGTATTGTGAGTAAGGTCGGATACAGTTCAATCGTTCGTCGCTGAAACGATTGTAGATCGTCTCATTCGACGGGTTTAACCGATCAGAAGAGATATGGGGTCCGGACGCGAACGATTTCTGCCCTGAGCGCTGGATCCAGTCTGAAGCAAATACCGTCGAGCCTGGAAAACAATGCGGAGGGATGTATGCTAACTTGTAAGGATGGATCTTGCTTTTTTGTATATGGCATTGATTGCCGTCTAAGAGCTACGTTTGGAGGTGGTCCTAAAGGGTGTATCGGGTGAGTCGGTGATGTCCTCGAGCAACTATTATCTGACCAGATCGCATCAGATGGCGTTTCGCGTAAGACGTCCTACAATTCGTTGCTCGAAGTTCCCTAACCCCCACCCAGAGTACTCGAGATCAGCATATTCATCGCCGCCATCATCCGGGATTTCGAGCTCAGCGTCAGTCCCGACTGGGAACTATGGAGAGACCCGTCTTTTATAGCTACTGTATGTGCTCAAACCGACGCCGTGTGTATGCTAACCAACCAAAATCAGTTCCCGATGGAGAAAGGACGATGGAAAGACGGTCCTCGAGCTATGATCAGAGTTTCCAAGCGAAACAAAAATAGCAAGAGGGTAGACTAGCTGTCATGATCATAACGGACAGTGCAATCCCAGTTTCACATCAATTTTCCTTATGATATCCCGCAGCCTGCAGCCTGAGTCTACAAGTACACTCCTGACCCTTGTCTGATTTTGCTCATTTCAGCCCTTGCCAAATCTGGTTCATCTCGATCTTCTCTTTCGCTTCCTGCTCGTTCTTCGGCAGCTCAGAATGGAACGCTACCCCAAACTCGGTTAACCATTGCCTGCAGGACAACTTTTCAAGCACTCACGAACATCCGCACCTCTCTGGAACGCGGGCCGAGCCTCAATCCGCTGCATCCAAGCGACGACATTAGGGAAAGGCAGCATGCTATCCACGCCCGCCCATTCCCAGCAGCGTACCCTACACTCATCAGTCCCCCTGCAACACGATCCTGTATCCCGAGTGGGGGAGCTCACCAAGGCACGCAGTTCATATCCGCAATACTGTACTTCCCCTTTCCCTCCCCGACGAGGAACTCCCGCCCCTCTAAGCGCGTGTTCAGCACCCCGTACAGGCGTTTCGTCTCGTCCAAGTATCCTGCGCCGATCAGCGTCGATATCAGAACTCGGATGAATCGAAGGAAGGGACAGACGTTTTTTGGCATAGGGGATGTCTACCGGGGCGTAGCGGACAAAATGGTGTGCTTGACCTGGAATGAGCGTCGGAGTGTCAGCGAGAACCTCTGGGTTGAGAATGATACTTAGTACCTTGTATCGGGCCGACCCCCCCGTGAGAGAAGAATATCCACTGGAGAGAATCGCTCCTCAGTGCAGGCTACGAGACCTCAGCTACCCGCAGGAAATATAGGAAGGGAGGCGAACATCTTCAAAATGATACCTATACAGCGTATCATAGTTCTCCGCCAAATAGAGTAAGATCGCCGCTCTGTTTCCCATAATCCCATCATTTTGTCAGTCCATCAGTCCATCAGCTGATCCGCCCAACCGGGCAGACAACAGAGGAAGGCGTACGACTCGAAAACGATATATTCTTCTCTCTTGTTGGCTTTGCTCTTCCGGTCCACGAGTACGGGTACGCGTCCATTCGGGTTCAGCTTTAAGAACCAATCCGATTTCTGCTCGTGGGCTAGGAGGTTCATACAGTGGAACTGAGCCAGGCGGTTAGTTTATGAATGGAACGGAAGGTGGGGAAAGGGGCGGAGGGGGTACCTCGTATGTTAGGCCATAGACATCTTTGAGCTCCTCGAGGTAGGACGAGACTTTCACGCCGTTGGGCGTGTCGTACGTATAGAGCATGAACTGGGGTTGGTCCATGGTAGCGGAGGTGGTCGTTGGAAGAAGAAGAGGAGAATCGGATAGTAGGTTTGTAAGATGGTGATTATCTGCAGGAGAGGAGGAGGGGGATGGGTATTCTTCGGGGGTGGAGTGAATGTCCGAAGATGTGCCGAGGTGAGAGCTAATCTCGGCTCGTTTTAGGACCAAATGACTGTTTCTCTTATGAAGGAGGTCTGGTATGTACAAGATATACAGTGCAGATATGGTACAACATCCCAGATGAATAGATGCGCTTTTCAGCCTAGTCTCCACCCTCCAACGTTCAAAATGGCCAGTCATGCAACACCCAACACCCAACACCCAACACCCACACCCCCTTCTCCCTATCTAGCCGTCCTCAGTCCCTTGCCCACAACCCTCTGCTTCCCAGCCCAAGCAGCCCACCTCGCCAACCCCTCATGCGCAATCAATCGTTCCACACTCGCATACTCCCTCGCCAGCGTCGGCGCATCCAGCATCTTGTGCACCGCAGAATGACACGGCCGGCAGAGGAAGGCGAGTGTCTGCTGCAGCTGGGCCTTGCTCAGCTGGGTACGCTTGAGCAGCTTTGAGTGCTCCGAGCGGGGATACAGGTGATGTGCTGTTAGGGGCATAGGGCGGGCGCAGAGCTCGCAAGTTGCTGGTTTGCGTTGGGTTGGTGATGCTTCGTCTGCCTGGACGGAGCGTGTGGAGAAAAGGTAGGCATCGATCACACAGCTGCAGAAGAAGGTCACTTCTCCGTTTTGGATACCGAAGAGCTCTTCAAGTAACGGGGAGAGGACGTTCCGAAAAGGGTGGGCCTCTGGTTCGGACAGCGTGAGCTCGCCGTCTTTTGGGACAAGGGCAACACCCTCCTCCTGGAGGGAAGTGATAAGGTAGTCGACATTCTCCCCATCTACCTCTTCGTCTATATCGATATCTTGTTTCAAATGGGGTCGCGAAGTGGAGAGATGGAGGATGAGCACAGAACGGAGCGTTTCCCAGTTCATTCCCCTGTCATCATCGGCATCGTCATTGGTGTCGTCATCGCTCGTGCGAGCGGGCATCGATCGCCTGATCCGGAAAACCAGAATCCGGTAATGGGTAATGGTCTGCTTGTCTTCACGGAGTGTGCTACAAGTACCAGTCCTGGTGTGCTATAGAAAACGAGCGGGTGTGCGGAGAGAGAGGGGGAGGGGGGAGGAATGGAGACTAGCGCAGGGACAGGAACGGTGACGTCACTCCATTCCCACACTTCCCACCGCACACCTTAGCCCAAGTCCACAAGGACAAGTCTCATTCCCAAGAGCTACATCAACCCCACGACGTCAACAGATCCAAGGGTCAACAATACCTTACCGATCAATCACGTACAGGTCATACGTACTGTACCTGTACCTTATCGAACTGTTAACGCATGGGTGATCAGACGCTCTGATCGTAACACATGGACGATCAGCCATACACCGTCAACCGGTATCACAACCGGGTATCAGGACTACTCCTATCAGCGCCGTGTGGTCAATCTTCGCTCTATCTCCATCTCAATCATCCCCAACTAACGCCCGCCCACTTACTACCAGCAAGAGCAGAACCCTCCACGAAGTGCAAGTGTCATCCAACAGAGTGACCATTAACTTAGACCGTAAGACCTACAATACCAAAAAAAACCTGCAAACGCGCTAAGACGGGAAATGAAGCAGCAGGATGAGAAACTAAGACTGATTGAGAGAAACAGGGGAAGGAAGGCAGGCACTGATTGCCTGCTCTTGCCGGGGTTGGCCTGGGGCGGAATGATAATGCAAAGGGAAGATAGAGGCATAAGAGGGATTAGACTGCTAAAGCAGGTGAGGTTAGAAATGTAGAGATAGGAAAGACGACTCCAGCCCAAGTAAGAGGAATATATGTCCATGCGGCGATCCAGCCGGACAGCTATTGGAATTCGCCGAGGGCGGAGGTCAAGCCTTGCTCACCCCCTCACCGCGCTTGAGCACCTCTTCCAGCCTCTCTTCCAGCCCCTTGCCCATACCGACCCGTTCCCACTCCCCGCCTTCGTCCCCATACGCACTTTGTTCCCTGCTCCAGCCGCGTTCCTGCGGGCTGGCAGCTGCGAGAGCAGAGAGATGCGGTGGCGGGGAGGAGGGGGAGGTGACCTGAGAGAGGGGGACGGATGTGAGGGGCGCGGAGAGGAGAAGGTCGGAGTAGGAGACGAAGGAGAGGCGTTTGCTGGGGGATGAGTGGGCGGGAGTGCGCGCTGTGGGCAGGGTTGACGGGGGGCTGGTAGGGGGCGGGACGAGGGAGGGGAGCAGGTCGAGTGCTTTGCCCGGTGAGCGGGGGGAGGGCGGGGTCGACAGACCGCCTACGGCCTGGGCGGTGAACGTTCCGGGGATGAAGGCCGGTCGGGTAGCAGCAGCAGCAGCGAGGCTCGACGCAGCTGGGATACCTGGTGGGCTAGGAGATCTCCTAAAACCCTCTTCTTCACCCTGACAACCTGCAAGCTCTACCTCTACGTCACCGTCCGTCTCGCTCGCTGTAAGGGCCTCGATCGCTTCGTCCAGTACTGAGGGGACGAAGGCGGCCAGAGTGTGGTCCCTCGGTGCGGGGAGGGTGGACAGGGAGAGGGGCTCGATGTCCCGCTCGAAGATCGCTGATGAGGAGAAGTGGGTCGAGGATGGGGATGAAGGGGAGGAGTGTGGTGGGGTTGGCGGATGGAGGATGTGCGGATGGGGCTTGGGAGAGGGAGATAGGGGCGAGATGGGCCCTGGTGCGACTGGAGGAGGTGAGAATTGAAAGGACTTGAAAAGAGGAGACGTACCTATTGAAGACATGATGTTGTAGATAGGGGATGTCGCGCAGTAAGAGGGTTAGTGGGATGTATGCGTTCGTTCGTTCGTTGCGTGCTATTATACTCCCCAAGTGGCGGGAATGGAAGTGCGCAGAAGACGATAGGTAAAACTGCGCTGAGGACTGCCGTTGCCCGGTATAGTTGTTGTATATGCGCAAATCTGTCACAGCTGCGGATTATTGCTTGTATACTGTGTAACTCCTTTGAAAGTAGTTGAGTGGACAGACAGCGGAGAGGGGCAGTAAAACGAGTCGAAGAGAGAGAATGCTAACTGTGCCCCCCTTCTCTTTATGTAGAACAAGTCCCGGTCGCAACCTCAGGGTCACGCCCCCCACCACCCAAAGACGACTAAGGAACCGTGACTGAACACAGAACTAGCACAGCCACGCCGCCCGCTCATGGGCCACCAAGTTTTTGCCCGCCCAGCCCCGCATCTGCTTCCGCACTACGTCACCGCCCTCTCTTTGGTACGCAAATCTGCAAACCCCCGGCCCACTTCCCATGCCCGGAAGACATCGGACATTCTCTCCCCGCGGCCCCATTCCCCATTCCTTTTTACCGGACTAATCATCCTTACCACTTCTTGCAAAATTGCACTCAGCGGGCATGTCGTCATCCGAGACTTTTCGCCGGCGCAGCACCCCGGGCCGATAATTTTCGCCCCATTGTGCCGCTGAACACTCGTACTGCTCCCAGTGGGCGCTTATGCGAGCGCAGCATCCACGTACTCGGCCACGTCTCCCAACACCGGTACTAGAGTATTACAGTTCCGGTGAGCTGCGCCGACATAGGGGCTTTACCCGCCCCGCGTTAAGACGTAAAGCACGTGGGGAAGCTGGTGGGCTGGAGGGCGGCGGGACACCCCTTAGACGCGCCCGTCAGCCTCTTAAGCTAGCGCTCTTGGGCCGTTATTCGCTTGTTAATCAATGGTTGGGAACATAGAGGCAATACTCTATCGCCCTATCTCCTTACGGCCAACCGGCCACATCATAGTCTGAAAACGTCCCCCAGTCGAGCGAGCGGATCACAGGACAAGTACAGCACCCACCCATCTCATATCACAAATACAAGACAATCAACCACCATGAAAGGGGGCGGGCGGACCCTGCAGACTACGTGGGGAAAGGGCAAGCCGAAGTCACGGCACTGCTTTTCCCAAACTAGGACGAATAAGCACCCCCTCCCCCCCCGCATTTCCTGCCGACGAATTTGGTGCGGGGATCATGTTTGACAGAGATTAGGAGCTTACATATCAGCTCAGGTCATCAGGTCATCGGACCTTATGCCTAACGTCTGACTCACCCAACTCCATACTCCCCAAACTGTGCTTGGGCGCTTGTTGCTTTCGGGCTGTGCTGATGACATAGCGCTAGATGGGAGTCGGTGATCGCAGACCTGGGTGCCTAGAGCGTCTAAGCGTGCGGACTGGAGACTCTGAGCGTTTGAAATGGGCTGCGAACATGGGCCTTGGTGGGAGCTGGGCTTGATCAGCATCACCATCCGCTGTGAGTGTATTCACAAGCGAAATACGCCGTTCTTCTCGAGATCAGCTCCCGGGTTTCTCTTCTTGCCGTGTTCTCATCACCTCACCCTGAGTGGTGCATAACCCTGCGACGTGTAGCAGTGTCGAGATAGGAAGATGCGCTACCCAAGTTGCAAAGGTAGATCCCCACCGGGTTTGTCGCCTCTGATAGTCCTCCCCAACAGCCCTTCTTCCGATCTACATTCCAGGCAACGCGCAGTCAAGTCGCCAGCTGTGTCTGTTGGTTCACGACCTCAACCGGCCTTACCGCATGGTCACATCTTATTGAGGAGGTCCACACCACGAGGGGAGTGATCCCGGTAATGTCGTAAAATTCGTGATTCATGTACATATGCAGCAAGAACTTCGCTAGTCATATTCACTTCTCTACACTTTAGCTGTGCGGCGCTTGACACGGATGGGTACTTGTGGACCAAGATCGATGTGATCTTTCTGCATAGGAATCTAATGGTATTGTCAATCACTCTACTTAATCGCGAGACCCAAAGGGGGGGGGGCGTACCGTGTTGATGAATGCTCCCTCTCTCCACATCTCGTAGTCAGGATTCGATATACTGATTTCGAACTGACGTATTATCATGGCAATGAATATTTCCATCTCAATCATGCTGTGCACAATTCAATCCTCGAACACCCAAGTCTATATCCCACTTACGCGTAACGCCAACCAATGCAGGCCTTGGGACCTCCTCCAAAATTGCTGACATTGGCATACGGTCCGCCACACTGGTCTTCAGGTGGGACTTTGGACATGTCATTCATCAGCCAGCGCTCAGGGCGGAACACATTCGCATCGTGACCCCAGACAACCGTCGACCGGTTGAACCCATCGAAACTCAGGATCACGCGCTGGCCGGCGTGCACGGGAATCGAATTGATCTCTTTACCGTCTTCTGCCTTGAGAGGTTTGGAGAGCGGTATCACGTTGTCGACTGTTGCGGTAAACAACCCGTAATTGACGGCGGGGTGCATGCGAAGAGCTTCGTTCACGACGGCGACGAGATACGGCATGTTGTCTAAGTTATTTGCATTGAAGCCTTCAGCGAGCTCATCATCTGCCGCTGAGCCGAGGACGGAAGATACTTCGGCATATAGCCGGTCCTGGACAGCTGGCCTCTGAGCGAGCTCACAAAGGGCAAAGGAGACCGTGTTCGCAGCCGTCTCAACTGCATGGTAATTAGCCCTGGAACATACGAAAGTCTGAAGATGACTCACATCCAGCAATAAACATTGTTGTCAATTGGTTGTAGATCATCTCGTCTGGCATAGGCTCAACAGTCCCTTTCTCGTTCTTCTCCCCAGATTTGACTATGAACATTCGCAGGTCAACATACGCCCTGTGGTTCTGATGATGACGAGCTCACCAAGGATAGTCAGCAAATCCCGATCTTTCATGGTTGGGTCAGCCGAGATCTCCTTCCGCTTCTGCTCAATAAGCTCTTGAGCAAATTGACGACTTGTTGCCTTTGCCGCTCGAAGCTTGCGCACTGCCGCGAGCGGCAGATTCTCGGCATGAGAAATGATCCAAGGCGGAATGTGTAGAATGAGATTCTGAAGAAGGATACCGAAGGTGGTTGGGCGAGAAAAGGTGTCAGCCATGAGTCCCCCATAAGCCCTGCAAAAGATGTTAACGTATTTCCTAATATGGAAAGTATTCTGGGAACGCACTTCATTAGCTCGTGTTCTTCACCTTCTAGAGCACCAAACTTCAGGCCGAAAGCAGCTACATGGGACAATCGGCATGGGAGCATAGTGTGTATACTTAGACATACTGGCACCAATCGACTCCATCGTGAGCAGCTCCACCCAGTGGTAGGCATTCACATCCCACGTTCCATCTTTACCTTCCTTATCCAACCGCCGATTCCATTCTTTAACGAACTGCCATTTTGTCAATGTGAGGGATGAGAGGGAGTTTTTGAAGACGTACTCGAGAGGAACAACTGGCGAAGGTGGGAGCAAGGCTCTTTATGAACACAGGGTTGAAAGCCGGCTGGAGCAAGCGCCTTTGGCGAGCATGATCAGCACCTACAAATTCAATGAGTGAGCTAGTGAACTCAGTTGACTGTAACTTCACAGACCATCGGCATAAATGATGCCCTCGCCTGCGAGGGGTGAGCAGGACCCTCATTCCAGGAAAAAAACACATACCAGTGACGAGTCTCAAGAACTGACGCAGGGAATCCTCGAGCCCCCAAGAGATTGTCTGACCCCGCAACACATGCTGAATAGCGTTTGCATCATTCAGCATCAGGTATTCGATCTGCAACAGCATTCAGAGCCGGCACCAAATGGCGGGGACGGAAACGAACGCACTCCGAAACACCCGTGGAACCGATAAACGTAGCCATACTGGTCGCGCCACTTGCGATTGGCGACTCCCGCCCCTGAGTTCACGACCTGCCGTTGGTTGCCTTATGTGAAGTGAGCATTCCGCCTGTCTCAGGCGCAGGTGAGGTGCATACCAAGAAGCCAGTACTCAGGAGGAGGGCCACGAATGTATGCTGGCAGTCGGAATCGTGAGGGTTTGAAGAGCCAACCAAGGAGCAAGACTGCGACGCCCAGAACAGGCAGGAACCAGGTAGTAGACATAGCCAGCAGAGACAAAAGGGGGAATAATGGATTCGGCTTTTGAGGACCAAAGGAGCAGGTATATAGAGAAAGATTATTGTCATCGCTTCAAGGCAAGCTGCCGCATGTTTCCCAGGTGTTCGGCACTGAAGCAGACCAGAGTGCGCCTGCAATGCCTTTTGGGGCATTCGGAATTGCCACGATTGACGTCGGACACCGAGGGCAGCTCATTGAGTAGGCTAAAAGAAGGCGGCAGAGGGTGCCGAAACCGTCCTCGAGGCAGCTGCCAAGTCACAGAGGATATGAAAGCCACGCGGACAATCCCCGCGATTCTGACAATGTCGGCAAGCGGTGCATGATACATTCGGGAAGATGACCGTTTGATATGAAAGGGTCCGATAAGGTCATCTGATCATCTTCCAACAATGAATAGCCAGCTCATGATGGGTGTGAGCGAGTAACGACAGGAAGAGATGGAAGGGAAGCCGGTAGGGGTGCGAAAAAAGCTGGGAGCGGATGCAGATTCGGCGCTTCTCCCCACACGTTTCTGTCGGTTGGAGACGCGACTTTTGCTTTTCGACCCCGACTTCAAATACCAATATTATGTCTCTTCCCACTATCAGTCCAGAAATATGGCTTATGATACTGGAAGAAACTGTTTTGGGTGACTTGGAGAAAGGTACCAACGAGTTTTCCAACCTAATGCTTGTCTGCCACATGTGGAAGGTACATATATGCACTTGGAAATTGGTCAGAAGAGCGCTGAACTCACTGGCAGAACCTGGTAGCGCCGCTGCTATATCGACGACTTCTATTCTGGCAACCCCATCAGATACCGCTCTTCGTGCACCATGTGTATGCGCTCAAACGGATGAACGAATATCCTTCCCGTCGGACAACCTCGCTGTGCTTATTGAAGCTCGCGGATCTGAATCTCGACGGACGTGATATGCTGTTGCTACTTCGCTGCTTTCCCAAACTACAGCAACTGGACTCGTCCCTGAAGCTGTCCTGGAAAGAGCTGGAGGTTTTGGCTGATCACTGTGCCCAGCATCTTCGTGTGCTTGACACATGCATTGACGACAGAGACGGTACGGGGTTAGCATTCACTATCATCCCACGATTCCATGCGCTGGAGTATATGCACCTCTGTATAGCAGACCCATCGCCCGGACGAAGCCCATTGCATGAACTTCCACCATTCTCTCTACCCCATCTGAAGTATTTGGAGCTGAGGATGGCGAAGCATCAAAAGCGCAACTACGCTCATTATCTCTCCTTTCTCGAGCTGTGTACCTTCCCTGCTTTGAGCCATCTTCGTCTGTCACACTTACGTCACCCGGAGGCACTCACCTTCTCTGACTTTCTCTATCGTCATGGCCCGCTATTGACCCGCCTCGACATTGAAGACGTTCACCCTGAATGCTTATCAATCCCCTTTCCGAATCTGGTCCATTTGGGCATCATGTGGCCGCTGTTTGACCAGATGATCGACCCACAGCATCTGGAAGCTATGATTCCTCCGTCGGTTCAAGTTCTCCACCTGTGCGAAGGCGACTGCCCATCTTCGGATACCGTCTCCTTTCTGCAAGAATTCGGACACAGGCGTCCGCCCCAAGCACAACTGGAAGCCATACAAATCGAGGACCCTGGATTTCTTTGGGAAGACCTTGCTTGTGACACGGTTACAGCTACAGGTTGGCTGCAGCCTGCTTTCCATCTGAGGAAGATTGGTATTGCGCTCCTTGATGCAGATGGGGTAGGGTTCAAGTTGGAAAAAAGTTTTCCGCCTCAAAATGGAAGTCTGAGCTCGTCATCTTCCGTCAGCAGGGCGAAGGACACGGTATTAAGGAGATGAGAATGAGGAAGCCTGGGGATGGAAGACAGGACATCTGTTATATTGAGGAGGGGGGAGGGGGGGGTTGTAATTGTCTGAATTACCAATATGAACCGTCCATGAAAGGGTTCGAATCATCCATCAAACACCCTTGACTCCCTTATCAAGCTGCTTAACGGCGGCAGCAGTGCGTTGGAGGTCCAGCGCGGGCATCACTTTTTGTCTCAGATGCGGCTACATTCTGACGCATTCGAGGATGTTTGTCCCTTCAGCACATGTACATATGCAATCGGGTCGTTGAGTACGAGATTCTCCTCCTACGGAACGTAATGAGATGCACATATCCATCCATCTAGAGCACAACACGTACACCGAAACACCCTCTATACTTGTAGGCTGTGCCATATACATGCATCCACAGCCGGTTTGCCTCCCCAGTTTCTGAGTATTCAACTTCTGCTTGACTGCCGAGTATCCATGATTTTGGCTTGGGACCACGGATATACGAAGGCAAGCGACTCCTCTGCCTTTCCGAAACTTGAAGAGACCAGTGGAGACCAGTACAAGCCCCAGCAAGAACGAAAGAGATGCCATAAAGTGAGGTATCACGTCAATCCAGCAGTCAAGAGTGTGTCATGTCTGAGTTGTACTTGTATCTTGCAGGACAGCGGCGCTGATTAGCCATTTTCAAGTTGAGAGCAGCCCGCTTATCGGTTGTCCAATAGGAGATGCCGAGCACATCACATTTTATCAACTCAAGAGTAATATTATGGTCTAAGAAGGTTAGGGACGGCTGCACTGTGAAACAAGGATGTCTGAAGGCAGTACACTTTTACCCTGCAGTTCGTATTCGATCCTCTTGGAAGTGTGTTTGGCTGAAGTCGCCCAGTGCAGGACCGTCAGCTACCTTTGAGTTATTTGAATTGTAAGATTTGGGTCCTGACGATGATGGAAGGCGCTCAGCCTGACACGGATACAGAATTCTTGGCCATGGTTTGTCCGCCCATTCATTTCATATGAATACAACTGCTCAGCAAGAAAATGAAAGAGAATCTCTTGACCTCACAGCGTATATAAGCGAGCACAACGGCGTTCCAGCGCTTCATCAGCTGCCATAGGACACTACTGTTCAGCAATATTCCATACGGCGAAGTGAAAGTGTCAAAACGGCTTTGGCCACGCTATTCTCGAAGCGGAAACTTGGTTGGGAACGCATCTCCTGGCTTCTTGAGTTGCTCGATGGTTGGCTCATACGACTCGGCCATCCGTCCTGGCTTCGCAGCGCGGCGTTCCGGTGCTGTATCAGGAACTGGAGATCGACCGATGAGCCAGCGCTTCTCCAACAAAACAAAACAAAGTTGGCGAACATGCATATGGATCACGCGACTTTTACTCCGTCGAGACGTGTGCAGAGAATGAGCTTGTCGCCTCATTTAGCTAGAATTCTTTACTCGGCAAAGATCGTGATTCATATACATACAGGCACGCTCGATATTGAAGAATCCCTGCTATTTGGCCATGCGTCTCTGTATGCGGAGAGGCACTTGTGAACCGCGGTCAAGGCGACCTTTCTGCATAGGAATCTAATGACACCCGGGCCGTCAGGTAACATATCGGATTATGAAAAGGAATGAGATACCGTGTTAATGAATGCACACTCTCTCCACATCTCATAGTCAGGATTGGAGATCCTGACTTCAAACTGTCGTATTATCATGGCAATGAAGATTTCCATTTCGATGATCCTGTCAAGGGTTTAGATCTCGAAACCGTCACGTTATAATCACACCTACGCAAAACGCCAAGCAATACACGTCTTCGGTCCCCCTCCAAAATTAGCCAGGTTAACATATGGCCCGCCGCACTGATCGTCAGGCGCAACCTTCGACATGTTGTACTCCAGCCAGCGCTCGGGACGGAACACATTCGCATCCTGACCCCAGACGATCTCGGATCTGTTGAATCCGTCGAAATTCAAGATCACGCGCTGCCCAGCATGGACAGGAATAGAATGGATGTGTTTACCATCTTCTGCGTTGAGCGGTTTAGAGAGCGGAATGCTGTTATCGATCGTTGCAGCGAACAGGCCAAGATTGGCAGCCGGGTGCATACGCAGCGTTTCATTCATGACGGCCTCTAGATAGGGCATATTGTCTAGGTTATTCGCGTCGAAGCCTTCGGCAAGCTCATCATCCGCCGCGGTACCGAGGACGGAAGAAACCTCAGCATACAGACGTTCCTGGATAGCTGGCCTCTGAGCGAGTTCACAAAGAGCGAAGGAGACGGTGTTCGTGGCGGTCTCATCTGTCTCGCGCTCAATCATGGGCATGGGCGGGATGGCAACGTGATGGTGACTTACATCCAGCAAAGAACAGCGTTGTTAATTGATTGTAGATCAGCTCATCCGACATAGGCTCAATGGCCTCTTTCTCGTTCTTCTCCCCAGCCTTTACTGGGAGAGTGCAGATCAGGGCGATGGCCATGTTCTCGATTACAACTGGCTCACCAAGAATAGTCA